TCAGCTTCCTGAAAAAACTTTTCCTACGAGTGGCCGTCGACGGATATCTCTCGAATACTTCCATTATCAGCGCTGATGTTTCCCAAGGATCTATATTGTCTTCAATCCTCTTTCTATTGCATATCAACGACTTATTGAAAAAAAAACAAGAATCCAATATATTGCTTTGCTGACTATAGCACACTGGTTTTTTCATTCCATTTGGACTCCAAGACATCGGCGGCGGATGCTCATCTTCACCGGCAGCAGAAGGTTGCATATTTTATTGAGGATCTACAAGTAACTTCGAATTGGGGTGAAAATAATCAGGTTCAATTCAATGCCACAAAAACCCGGGCATCGGTTTTCTAAAAAAAGATGAATGTCTCCCAACCAGATATAATAATGTTAGGTCAGACAATTCCGCTTTCTGCTTCGATAAGTTTGTTGGGTGGTAAAATGGACACCAAAATGTCTTGACACAAGCATTTCGCTGGAATTGCAAAAGCCGTTTCTCAAAAGCTTGGAACACTGTTCCGAACCAGAAAACTTTACACACCTCAGCAACTTTTGATGCTTTATAAAGCTCAGATGAGACCTTCTCTGGAGTATTGTTCTCATTCCATCCAGAAAAGAGCCATCCGCCTGATTGGAAACGCGAACATCACTTGCAACCTTGATAATCTGGAACATTGAAGAAAGGTTGGAGATTTGTCTCTCTTCTATAGATACTTTCACGTGACTTGGCACATTTGATTCCACCAAGAGCGGTACATATCAGAAATACGCGACGAACTGTGGCTGATCATTATTTTGAGCTTCAACTCAGTAGACCTCGAACTACACTGTTCAAGAACTCTTTCATTGGGAGAACTGCGTTTATGTGGAATATACTTCCTCAGTACGTTTTTCCAAATGTATTCAATCCCCAGCGATTCAAATCCAATGTGGAATCGCTACTTTTGCACAGGCACCGATCTTAGAGCGCCTTAAGGATTTTTCTGTAGTGCTTGTGTTAAGTCCTAATATTCTTTTCGCAGCAGTTATACTTTTCTCTATGTGAAGTGAGAATGAGAGTTTGGTATCAAATAATACTCCTATGTCTTTGCAGAAAATGACTCACATTATGACAATGAACAAATGACACTGATGATCAATAAAAGCCCTACCTTGAATCCGAATAATCATTGAGATCCTGATTTTCATTGGTACTGCTTCCCTGACTTGCATCTTGACTATTCTCGAGTAAATCCCATTTGCTTGTGGTCATTGCTTGTGCCTCAATTTGTTCTGGATCTACAGTTTCCCATTTTGATGTTATGAATCCACTCAATTCTGTGTCCTTAGGATTATCCTCCTTGATTTCTTGTCCTTGAAACAAATAAGTCAGATATTAGCTATAAATATGAACAACATTCATAAACTAAGCTCTTCCTGTTATCGGTTAACTTTTTGACGTGAGGGTAGTGCGTACATATGTGTTAGAATGACTGAGTGTGTGTGACTGTGTACTTGATGGAATGTCGATGAATTTCATACAAACTCACTGAAAAGCAACAAAATTCTTGTCCAGGCAATAATTGCAAAAACCTGTTAATTTTTATTCATTTCGAACACTCAGATCATACAAGATTGGGATAATAATAGTGAGTTTTCAGTACTCCATCGGATATATTAGAGTAGAGTCAAAAAGAGGAGTCACTAGATGCAAGAAAAACCGTCTCATTCATATATATGTAACACAACATGGGCGTTGCGAGGTACTGGCAGCTGCCCCCTCAGAAGAGTGATCGTTTGCTGGATATTAAATTAAAAATTTTCACTCGATAGTTTGATTTCCGTAAATATATCTCACACAGTGCGGGCACAAAAAGTCCCCTCCCCTTTTAATTTTTGAAATAGAAAGGATTTCAATGTTGTACAAAGGTTACACAAGGAGACATCATTTTCAGAACATTTTAATAAGAAAAACAATTAATAGTATACTTCATTCGTTGCCGATTTTTTTTTAAATGAAAATGGGAACTTTGAATAGGTCTTTCAATTCTCTATCCAATAATGTTTTAATTATGAAAATCGGATCATCCCTCGTGAGTATTAACAGTTTCATTCTCTTTCAGAATCCGGAAATCATTTAAAATTCACTCTGGTTAATTCCAATAAATGTTCATTATTTACTTCCCGACATGTATGAATGTTTACAAATACACTTCTTACAATATGGAATATTTCTGGGGTAATTTGGTTACAAGCACTTCACATGAGGAATGGATTGCGACTATGTAATGCATACTTCATTCATACGAATATCCACAAAAAATCTACAAGAATCATATATAATCATATCCTCCCGTTTGGATAGGTGTCATCTATCCACTTTCGAAATATCCTGTCATAATGAAACCGATAGATAGGCCGACGTCGTATATTTGAATGGTCCGTTAGATCACCTGATATGAGGCCCCTAGATTTATTCAGAAGATACAAGTAATCTAAAGTGTACGATACACAACCGCAGCCCATTCCAGAATTCAAGTTCAGAATAAGAGGTGCATGCATAGAATTTACCACACAAATATTTTATAGTAAGAAATGAATTTGTCAACAGACTTCAAGATTGTTATTATGAGCAGGAAGTGGAAAGTGAACATTTTGAACATTCACTGGAAATAACAGGAATGAGTTTCGATTTACCACTTGTTTGCAGATTCTTGAAAAAGAACGGTCGATTTCTATTTGAAAAAGAAAAAAAAACAGTTGAGGGTGCCCTTTTGGCGACTAGTGATGCCATACTATTATTCTGTCTCATCAATTAGTCCACAAAATTTTAAGTACCGAGAAGGAAGACTTCTTACGTCCGCACTATAATTAGACGTTTTCTGAATGAAATACCCCTTCCATCTTATTCAATCCGAGTAAAAGTGGCAACACCGTAGGACGCAGAAAAGATTATAGAATAAAAATTGAAATACTCATGAATTTTTCATTAATTGAAACGTTAACGGGTTCATATACACTTCCATAATTAATTTAATAATTATAGGCTCCGTAAATTTAACGATTTTGCAATGTTGATTATTTCTATTGTTCCTATTGGTCAATCGAACAAGAAGCGGGAATAGGGCCGTGGCGTCACCACCCTACCACATTCGATTTTTGATGATTACGGGAAAACTAAGGTATTTAGAGAGATGAAACAAAGTGCACTGTTTATCAATTTAAAATTTCTATCAAGTGAACTATAAACAAAACATCATAAAACAAGCCCATTCCAATAACTCGATGTACCCAATTTATTTTAGATTGAAAATTACAACTTTGCCAAACATGCTGACGCCGCTAATCTGAAGCGTAAATTCAATCACAGTTGGTTGCAAACTTATTCGCGCTGGCTTGTTTATTCTAAACGTCTGAAAGGTGCACTGTGTTTATATTGTGTACTATTTCCACCAAAATTAGTAGCTGGAGGTTTGGGTTCATTTATACCTCGATCGTTTTGCCGTTTTAAAAATATTCATGAATACTGCGTTAAGTATGTCTCACCACAATATCATAAATCTGCAGTCAACGATGCAAAACAGTTTTCGGAGCATATGTAATAATGAATACGGTTCGCCAGCAGAAAATTGAAAAAAATAAAAACATAGTGTCCTCTATTTCTTAAGTTACTTTTAGTGGCACTCATGACTTGCCTTTGAGGGTTGAAGAGAATCATGATAGCATTCTTGAAAACCTTTCAAATCTGATAATTGAATCTGGCGAACAAGATTTGAAACAGCATTTCGAAAATAGGAAAAAAATGCCATGTATACATCCCTACAGATTCAAAAACGATATTATTGATTTATGAGGCTTGGTAATAAAGAATAAAGTGATACAAGATACTTCATGGATGGAAGTATTGGTGGCGTTAAAGAAAAGGAGGGGGAAATATGAAAAAGCCTTATATTTTAATTGTACAAGCCACAGGCTTAACTTAATAGTAAATGATTTAAATCAAATGCAAGAAATACGAAACATGTCAAAAGATATAATTAATTTTTTCCGAGAATCTTCTTCAAGAAGAAAATATGTTCCTACCATTCTGGCCTTATGTGAGACACGCTGGTCGCAAAAGTATAATTTGATCAGTGTTGCCATAGACAAACATTTTGAAGAAATTATTAATGGACTCGCGAAGATACCTTACAGAAGAGAATGTTGCTGAAAGAAAAACTGCTTTTCAGTTACATTGTGTTACTACTAAATCAGTATTCATTAAATGCATTGCATTGATAGCCAAATATTCAGGTATATTGGAACTTTTTTTTTTCTGATTGATTCGGCCGTTACTTGATGAAGATCCATAGTAATTTCAAAACCTACATCTCACGATTTGTATGAATTCATACACTCAAGAAAGCTAAAGTGCTAGCGAAACATGTTGTGATTATATTTTTTCAAATAAAGTTTGTGGAGATCAAATCGTAAGGTGTAGTTTTTGAAAATATTGGAACCTGTTGACGATGCATTACAATCGAAGACTATAGATATATGATTCGTACTTACTATGACTTAATTCGTACTTAATATGATTCGTACATGTGTATGAATCATATTAAGAGAATTATTTCTGTAATTAAAGATCATCGCGGTAACGCAGACGGGGAAAGTCAAAATATTTTAGACATTTCACATAGAACAGCAGCTGCCATTGGAACTGATTTGCAAATCCCGCGCACTGCAGGTCGCCAACAAAAAAAAATCCAATCACCCAGCTGAGAGTGTATGCGATTTTTTTAAGTGATCAATGATCATTCCTTATTCAGATTCACTACATCCTAGTTCAATGTCGAATATGACACTGTTTGATTTTATAGAAAAATCACAAGTAGAGTCACAAGTAAATCTTTCACAAGAAAGATCACAAGTGAAAATCTAGAAAAATTATACTTTACACATGTGTCAAAGGAGGCGGACTCTTTCTACCCGGCTACAAGGGTTAAGTTAGGATAGGTCCAACGTGAGTGGGTCTATTTGACCCTCCACTGCAACCCGCAAGGGTTGTGACTCACACCTATTCAAACTCGACCAAATAAACCCAGTTTCTTAAAGAAGCGATTAGTTTATATGATGAGTGATCTTTCAGATGGTAAGAGTGTGGCTCTGCCAAACTGTGAAAACCTGAATCAGTCCACAAGCACAAAGTATATACTCTGCTGTTTCATAATTTTTCAAACAGATACATACACTGTCTTCCGACAGTCCAAGTTTCTGCATGTGATGATTCAGATGACAATGACCTGTGAGGAGGCCTGTTAGACATTATAGTTCATCCCTACTGTAGTCCAACAACTATATGGTTTCAAACTTCGAAGGGTGTATGAACGCCTTGGAGTTAGCTAATCGTGGAAGATTTTGCTAGAAGTTCTTAAATCTTCTTGTTATCCAGGTGTTCAATGTTTGTTCAACAAAACCTAAAGCGATGCCAATGGCAGTTTCCAGTCAGATGAAGCTGCTTGCACCCCCCTCCTTTGCAAGGGATTCAGCAGCCTCATTGCCTTCCAGGCCAGTGGGGCCAGGAATCCAAACCAGATACAATGTGTTAAGTTTTCCTATTGAGGAGAGTCGTTTTTGACAATTTGTTACCAATTCCACTGCTCATTAGAAAATCATATGTTAAAAACAACAATCAAAACAATATAATCTAGGATTTTCTTTGTCTACCCCCTCCTGTATGCAATCCTGGCTACGCCCTTGAACACAGGACAATACAGTATTAGCATAACCTCCCTATGGCCTTGATAGCTTAGCACAAGGCATCAGCTTATCTTGCATTTACTCAAATGCCTTACGATACATGACAAAATAGTGAGATTTCTTGAACAATTAATAACAGTCTGAAGAACTCGCTTTGCCATAACGTCTGGTAAAGCGGGGTCAACAACTGATTGAATATTGCTAGAGATCATAGTAATCAATTAATACCACAATTCCCACAATGGAACACCGACTGCCTAAAGAATCCATTAGGTTCAAGGTCACCACAGGTTGCACTCGTGGCGAGGTACTGTGTACTGTGTGCACTCCTGATGTTCTTGGCAGAATAGACGTAGATCTGCAACCATTGCACACAGTTGGTGTCAAAGGGTGCAGAATTCTGAACTATCCAACAAGCTATTAGCCAAGTATACCCTTGCATAAAATATAATACTGGCACCTTCAGGACACTCATATATACACTCACATAAAATAAAAAGTCTACTAAATAAAGAAAATATTAACATACACAGGTAGACATATAAATAGCAACACGTCACACATGGACAAGGATAACAGATCAAGTGTCTAGAAACTAACATGCAGATCATGCCCAAAAGTGTATGCAGGAAGGATTTCAAGAAATTTTGAAACGAGAATCTCCGAACATAAAAGATGTTTTTCTTCAACAGAAGAAGACTGCCTCCACCTATGCGAGCCACCTTTTGGAAAATATCACAATTTCAACACTATATAGGACATACTCCATGTAGAAGCTAAAGGGCAGATGTTGAACCAGCAGGAATCTCTGGAAATAAATAAGGGTAAACGTTTGGGTTCCCTGTTGAACGACCAACAGGAGATTTTGACCACTCACCATTGTTAAACATTTTTTCATAATACCAACAATTTTATTCATATTCAAAAAATTACCTTCTGTCCAAGAACTGATACTGTAATTGGTTTACATATTCTATCTGTTATCGCTTTCACTATACCTACTACTGTTGTATATTAGAATTGTAGCCCAGTGTGTAATATTCATTTCCACCAAGAAAGCTATGGTGTTAGCGAAACGCGTCTAGAAAAAAAAGGCCCTTACAGCCTCTAGGTCTGAAACTGTAATTTGCACATTTTGCACATACTGAAACTTTCAGTGTGCCATTCACTACGAAAAAGCTACTGTGATAGCGAAATATTTATACGGGGTGTTTATTAAACATACGGCAAAAAATTAAGGAACTATTCCTTGGACTATTCTAAGGATATTTTGTCCTTTGATGATTTTTGATAAGACGCTTTTTTTCGAAGATGCGGGGTGAAAAATACTTTCGACAATAACAAATTTGGTAATTTAAAAATTAATAACGTAGTCCAAATAAAAGTATAACGTACTACACTGGACCTACCAAGTAATAAAAAAATCTAACAATTCCGTTGGTACCTATCAACAACATTCCAATTACTTCAAACGGCTGCAGACATTCAATTTGCTGAGTGTCACACAATCAGAAATGATCCTGGTGTTTTTGAAAGAGTCGATGAGGAGAAGATTGGATTCTTGCATTCAAGCGGGAGGTAGTAATTTTCAACAGTTCTTGTAGATCAAGGAACATTATATGTAATATTTGGTAATAAATTGTTGTTGTCGAAATTCTTTTTTGCTCCGTATCTTAGAAACAAAGCGCCCAATCAAAAATCACCAAAGGACAAAATATCCTTGGAATAGTCCAAGGAATAGTCCCTTAAATTTTTGCCGCATGTTTAATAAACACCCTGTATATTTTTTAAAAATAAAGTTTGTTAAGATCAAATCGTGAAGTGTAGTTTATAAAATTACTATGGATCTTCATCAAGTAATGGCCGAATCAATCAGAAATTTAAAGAAAGCTACGACTAGTTTTTTGGCCTTGTGGTAAAACAAAAAACTTTCAGTATTTCATTAACTATGAAAAAGCTACTGTGATAGCAAAACATGTCGTGATATATTTTTTGAAAATAAAGTTTGTGAAGATCATATCATAAGGTTCTGCACAGTACAAAAATTTGACCCTGTACAGTGTTTGTGTACATAGTCAATTCCGACAATGCAGCCTTCGAATCCTTGGTGGCAAAATCTTTTGAACCAGGATTAATTCATGGCTGCCGATTCATTTCATCACCAAGTTGGGTTTTTTATAAAAAAAATTATTGAGGTGTATTAAGGTGATGCTAGGTTGTCACAATGGAAAAGCTGTCACAAATTAAAAACGTATGTTATCATTAGATTTTATTATAAGTTGAGCAGAAACCTCTCGATACAAATGGTTGAAGTTAGATTTGTGAAGAGAGGGGAGCAAAACTATGAATCTTGCATCAAGTTGAATGTTCTGAATACGAATACAAAAAAACAAGGTATTAAAAGACCAAACCCCAAAAATTAATCATAAGATGTCACCGAGGTTTTTATTATTTATGTTTCAATTGAGTGACTTACAAGTATCACTCAAATACTGTGTGATATTAGAATTTGTTTTATGTACGTATCTGCCACTTTCAAATTCTTATTTTATATTCGAGTATCTGTCTATGAAATCTATATCTCTGACAATGAAACCTATTACTTGCTTCTTAGAATTTTTATATTTATTACCAAAATCTAAAAATAAGTAAATTATTACACCAAAATTTCATACATTACCATCAATATCAAGTTCATCTGCAGATCCGCTTTCATACTGCATCATGGCAGTTTTCAAAAGAGCTGCCCCATCCATTGGAACATCGTCATCAGATTCTTGTGGTTCTAATGGATTGCCATCAATATCTTCAGCCAAGTCTTTGGGGGTATCCTTCTCCTCCTAAATTAGGAGTGAATCAATTGAAAAATTGCTAAATTTACTGAGCTTACCTCTTCTTCTAATCCTAAAAACACGTTGTGCAACTTATTCATGAAATCCTTGGGATAAATTGTGTCTTCCCAAGCTTTTAAAGTTCTCAGAACTCTCACTTTGAAACCTTCAGCTTGCAATCGACCCTCCAAGTTGTCGTAAGTTTGTTTGATGAACTTGAAGATTTCCAGTAATTTGTTCTGAAATCTATTGAAATATATCACTTTTATGAAACAATTGTATGAACATATATTTTGGAACAATATATGACCATAATTAATAGTTATATTTAGTTGTATACAGCTTCAATTCAAGACTACAAAAAAGTTTAAATGATCGTAATGTCTCGACTTTCTTTATTAGAGAGAGAGAGAGAGAGAGAGAGAATATGCTTCATTGTTCAAAGATTGTTGTTGACAAAGTAAAGGCTTGAAACAATATTGAATTAAGTTAAAGTAAAATACACACACAGATAGAAGAAATGGGACAATGAGTCGACACCGACTTTGTACAAGAATGTCTCATACCTACAACAATATATAAACTCTAGCACATGAGAAACATCCTACAACAACATATCAAAACAAGCGTAAGTTGGAATACGTAGTTATAGAATTCTTGTAAACTATAATAGGGTTTATCCAACAGAAGAGCTTTTACTCCCTTTCTGAAATGTTCTACGAAACTTATTTCTTTAATGTGTTTTGATAAGTGATTGAACATCTTTCCGCTTCCATAAATTACTGAATCTGAATTACTGAAATCAATGATGGGATCGGGAGTTTAATGTTGCCAGCTTGACGTGTGATGGAACGTGTGTAAAGTGTCAAATTTGTGAATATGTTTTTTAATTACACAAACAGTTTACAAAACAAAAACTGCGAATACTGTTAACATTTTATGTTTGATAAAAAGAGCTTTACAGGAATCTCGAATTCTTGCTTTACACGTGTATTTTATTGCACGTTTTTGTAGTACAAAAACAGAGTCTATGAGATTCATATTACACACCTCCCAGAATGGGACTCCGTATATTAAGTGGGAGTGTACTTAAGAATGGTACATAACCTTGGCGAAAGAAAGAGCAAGTTCATTCGATGTTACTCTTACTGCATAACATCCAGAGGACAATTTTTATTTAAATTTGAAACATGTTCATCGAATTTCAGTGTGCAATCTATATGAGCACCTAGAAATCTTGTATGTTTAGCGCTTTCTATAACATCCTCACCCATGACAAGCTCATCTAATTCACTTTTGAAAGACATATTAGATTTTGACATATTGATGGATAACTGGTTTGAGTCGCAATATTTATTTATTTATTTATTTGTATCCAACCAGACCAAAGGTCTAGTTACATGGATAATGAATATAAAATAATCTTCACATTTCAATAATTATATATCGTGAGAGTCAGTTGTGTACCTACTCAAAAACTTTGAGGTTGCATAGCAATAGAAAAAATAAGACGAATTGGAAATAGATATGATGTTAGAACTACTTTCAAAACAAAAAATACACTGAGATCTATACTCACAGATACAAAACCCAACAACACTGAAGAAAAAACAAAAAATTGTATTTATAAAATACCTTATTCTTGTGGTAAAAGTTACATTGGTGAAACCTCAAGACCATTGAAAGTGCGTGAGAATGAACATCGAGATTATATAAAAAATAGACAAATGTGTATTTATAGAACCTCCGGAAGCAAACGTTTTGACCGATAAAGATTCAGGCGACGAAGAGGAGGGGGGTTTAGTCGATAATCTTAGTGGTCAACAATTATTAGCTGGAGCAGAACTAAGAGTGAACCAAGCTATGAATGTAGAGCCAGACGAGCCTGTTCAAGATAATGAAAGTCCGTATACCAGACCAGGACAGGAAAAAATCACTTGGATAAAGAATGGCGATTTAATTCCAAATAAAAAAGCTTTTCCTGAACCTGATTACTCCAGATTTGAAAATTTAACAGATGTCGAAATTTTTGAGCAGTTCATTGATCAAGAAACTGTTGACTTACTTGTTGAGCAGTCTACAAAATATGCTGTCTTTTTAAATCATTCAGATCCTAAAATTACTTCTGGGGAGATGAAATGCGCCATAGCCATCATGATTCTGAGTGGGTATCATGAATTGCCTGGAAGAGACATGTACTGGAGTACAGAAAAGGACTTGAACGTATCCATTGTGTCAAATGCCATGCGTAGAGATCGGTTTAGTCAGATTATAAAATATTTACACTGTGCTGATAACACGAAACCTAATAATAAAGACAAAATGTGGAAATTACGACCTATCATGGATAAACTACGAGCAAATTTTATCAAAAATTTTGTTCCTGAACAACACCTAAATTTTGATGAATCCATGGTTAAATATTTCGGAAGACATCCCAGCAAACAATTCATACGAGGAAAACCAATCCTATTCGGCTACAAGGTATGGTGTTTGAATGCTGTGCCGGGGTATCTTGTAAGTTTCGATGTATACCAAGGGAACAATCCTAGGGGAAATACTTTCTATGAAAATGGATTTGGGAAATGTGCAGCACCTCTTATCAACATGATTGACGACTTTTCTCCTGATGTGTCTAAATTTCCATTACAATTCTTTTTTGACAACCTTTTTATTGGTTTCAATATTTAATATTACTTGAAACAACGCGGCTATGATGGAACGGGAAATGAGATTTCCTATGTTTTTTTTAATCACTTGTATTTGTAACTAACGTTTCTGCAGTTTCGTCCTTTTAGACCGAATTTATTGTATTCCTTTAAAGGCGTTATTTCGAAACACTAAGTCACTCTGTATATACGCTTATATTTTTGTGAAATTTTTAAGGCGATTTTTGCGATTGAAACAAACGTCTCATCGCGCAAATTTTTTTATTAATTTTTGGAGTGGCTTTCGTGACAATTTTGCACCATTTTTTTCGTGACACGGTGCAATGCAAATCATATGGGTTTTTGGAAAAAATGGGGCTTTGAAAAAAAGGGGTTTTTTCGATGAGGTTGAAGGGTCCGTTTCAAGGTGTCGTGTTTTGCGAAATTTTTTATGTGAGTTTTCGCGACAGAAATGAACGTTAACTTCTCTGAATTCATCAAATATACATGTTTTTATTTTCGTGTTCTCCAGTGTAAAAATTTTTTCGGGGATATTTTACGTAAAATTTTTGGAGGAATGCCTCATTCTAATTTGAGAACCAATTCGAGGTTTAAGTCAACGTGGGGATATTTGACGTAAAATTTTTGGATGACCCATTCAAGGTCCAATCTCGAGAACCACACCGAGGTCCCAATCGAGGACCAATTCGAACACCACCCCTAGCACCTCAAGGGTCGCGGACTCTACGCGAATTTTCCGGTGGGCGCGCGGCAGCTTCTGATTGATCGACTGGATGATGACAAAAACTGAAGGAGTGGGGGTGGGCAATTCAGGCATCATCCCTACTATAATCTAAACTTTTTTCAAGATGTTTTTATCATTTGTGTTGATCTTGGTTTTTATATTCTTGCGTTTAATTTTGATTCTTTTTACTGAAAATGAACAATCGAAGGAATTTGTCAGAAGGTTGAGAAATTGGTCATTATTTTGAGAACAAGGCTTTCAATAGTTATGTAAACAATTTTCATAGACTTTTTCATAGCTTCGATTACTAAAAAGGCTTCCATATTTAAATTTGTTTGTATCAATATTACAGTTAATATCCATCACACAATGGCATGATCAGAAATGTTTGCCGATATCACAGTGTACCATATATGGCTATTCAACTGACTACAGATACACACACTTGTGCTTTGAGAATATAGAAAAGTCCTAACTATTGGTGTGCACTGATGTTTCAAAAGATGTTAATGAATTATCCATTGCTGAGTTAGTAAAGAGTTCTCATCACCCTTGTTAATTTTGAAATCAGACGCCAAAATTACATTGGCTTTATTGATTAGACAGCTAGGGTAAGTGTTCCAATTTTTTCCCAAAAAGTACAGCCATTTACACAAGGAAATCAATATAAACATATTTCATACACGTCTGTGTTTGTGTGTGGAAATATTGGTACATTATATAAAATAACTCGTGGATTTTCAAGGGCTTCACGAATTTATCGGTCTGAAGAGTTTTCTCCGTAGGAATAGTTTTGATGTTGAAGCTCATTTTTTCCGATCCCCCCCGTCCTAGTTCACAACTTCTCTAATTCCCCACTGGACGATAACACTCTCAGCATCCTGCCTAAAGGCTTCAACTTCTCCATAACACACAAATTCATTCCTATCGAATTCATTATCACCCAGCCGAATCGGCCATTGCTCATCTTCCTGGAAACCTAGGTGAAGAAGCTTGGAGAGACATCGCCTCCACATTGAGAAGAGCAAAACTTCCGAAATATTCCTCAAATACCTAAACAATCACCCAAATATAGTTGTCCTTTCCGCAGAAAAAGGTAATGCCAAGGTGGTACTCAATACTACAGACTACCTCTACAAAATGACATTACTCGACTCTCTGGAATAACAATTCCAACATTTTCAATGAAAGGAAGATATCTCTCATCCCAAGAGAGAAATCTTCTCGTAAACATCCCCCTTCCTCCCATCGTTAGCGCATTCGGATCACCCACACACGCCCTTGCCAATTATCTTGCAAATACCCTCCAACCACTAGCCAAAACGAAACATCAAATTCAGCAAGACAATCAACCTCATCTGCCACTGCATGTTCAGGACATACATATTTTAGTTTCCAGGGCAAATTATACAACCAACTGACATGGTGGACTTTGAAACCAGAGCCACTGACACGTCTCATCTCAAACCCACGTATTGGCTCCGTCTCTGTTATATGGCCCCATGGATCCGAAGGACTTGATGCATTCCTTAACCACATCAACTCCCTACACCCTGACCTAAAATTCACAATGGAAGTCGAAAATAATAACTTACTTCCATTTCTGGACGTTCTCATCACAAAGTTCAACAACTATTTCTCACACACTGTCTACCGAAAACCTACTCATACCAAGCGCTATAACAATGCTAAGTTCAATGCTAATGTAGAAAGCCAAATGATCAATTAGGTAGAATTTAATCAGTATGAAAATGCCTGCACGCCTGAGGATGCTATTGTACACCGAAACACGTGTTGCGGTTTCAATAATACGTTTAAACAGTTTAATCTTCCCCTTGAAGATGATCACTTGG